CTGTCACTGATTTGTAGTAAACGCTTCTCACACATTTTGTACATAATTAATTGAATAATAACAGTGATAGTGCCAATAGAAACATTTAGCTTCTTTCTTCTTGTACTTTAAATTATCTCGCTTGTACATGTCAAAATTTGCCCTTTTAAGATTCTTTTAGATATTAATTTAATTCCTTCCTTTCTCTCTTCTTTCTTGTTCTTTTTTTTTTCTTTTTTTTTTTTTTTTTATTTTTTCTTTCTTCTTTTTTCTCCTTTTTTTTTCTTTTATTATTTTTTTTCAACGTATCTTAAAATTTAATCTTAAATTTCTGTAGGACCTGGTTTACCTTGTGTTCTACGACGGGCTAATTCTGACAAAACAACAGGCCCAATATGAGGTAATCTTGGACTATTTGACATAGCTTTGTATGTCGCTGCAACGGCCATCTATAAAATTTTAATATATAAAATAAAATTAAGAACGATCGCACAGTAATAAATATCAATATAAAGATTTTTGATTAAAAAAAAAAAAAAAAAAAAAAAAAAAAAAAAAAAAAAAATTTTACCTTTAAACTATGTGGATCTGTACTGATATCAGGTAACATTTTTTGTGGAAGGTGATGACGATTTGCAACCCAAGGATATTTTAAAATTAAAGCTGCTGTAGGCCTACGATTAGGATCAACGTGTAACATTCTCTTCACCAATTCTTTGGCTTCCATTGATATTTGACACCAGACTCCACTTTCTACATCTATATATCCAGGTCCAATATGATCAAGTATATCGGTTGCACTATCTCCTGGACTGTTTCGGAAAGGGGTGTATCTGCAACAAAATAATTACATAATAATACATTTGATTTTGTGCTTCATTATTACATGATAAATATTTCCAAACCAATCAGTTTCATACCCGGCTAACATAATATATAATAAAACACCTAAAGACCAAATATCACAAGCTGTATCATATCCTTGCCGTTTTAATACTTCAGGTGCAACAAAATTGGCCGTATAACATGGTGTCATTAATAAACCATTTTCTGCACGTAATTGTTTGGCAAAGCCAAGATCACATATACATAATGTACTTGGATCGCCACCAGGTTTTGAAAACAATATATTTGATGGTTTCAAATCACGATGAACTACCTGAAACATTTAAAATTCAGATTATTAATTATTTATTATCAATAAAAATCATTAATTATAAAACGATATATATACTTACTCCATTTTCATGTAAATAATGAACTACACTGGTAATTGTGTATATCACCTCGGCAGCTTCTCTTTCTGTAAAATTACGTCTTTGTAACAATCGATCAAGAAGTTCACCACCTCGCAATAATTCTAATACAAGATAAACTCGTCTATCGTCTTCATGAACGGTCCTTAGAGATACGATATGTGGATGCCTTCCGTATCGTAACAATATTTCTATTTCTTCCGAAGGATCCCGTTTTGCTTTTTCAATCACCTATTTTACGACCAATCTTAATTACATATAATAAATATAAAATTTAATAATTACAAAATATAAAATTTCTTATTATATATTTATACATGCATATAAATTACCTTAATAGCATATTCAGTTTTAGTTGCCTTATGAACTGCAAGGTAAACGGTACTATAAGTTCCTTTACCTATCTCCTGCTTAAATTCATATTCATCGGTTACTAAAATAGGATTGACATAAGCTGGGAAAGTATTACTAATACTATCACAGTTTTTGTACTCTGGAGTTTTTGTATGATCTTCTAATAAACAAGGTGCAACAAAGCTAAAGCCACGAAATAATTCATGAGCATTTGCGCTAGGAGGTACAGCAGGAGAATCTAAAAATAATAATAATATCTTTTCAAATACAAAATATATACTTGGCCAATTCTTTCAGCTAATTCAACGATTTCAAACATTAACATAAAGAGAAAAAAAGAGGAAAAAAAAAAAACAATAAAGGAAAAAAGAAAATTGTACATTATTACCTTTAGGTGTTTTACACGTAAATTCACTATCAAAATAAAATGCATCATCTTCTTGACTAACAGCTGGCTTGAAAGGCGGTCTTATCTCTTTCCTATAAAGAGCATCCCAATCAATGGTTCCAAAAAAGATATGGTTTTTTATTTCTTCTACACTACCTAAGTGAATGTATGAAAACAAATCAAATAAAATATTCGCACAAGATATAAATATACTTTCATTAGAAAATTGAAAATAAATATTTATACATTACCAGACCCAAGTCTATTTGCTGGATTTCTTTTGAATAATACTCGTAATAATGCACGGGCTTCCAATGAGATATTAGAAGGCATGATAAGCTTTGCTTTTAATATTTGTGTCATAGTTTCTTTTCTATTCGCACCTTGGAATGGTAATGCACCCGTCAACATCTCAAACTGCAAATTATTATTTATTTAAAAAATAAGATATAAATGAATTAAAATGTTTTCTAAAAAACTTTTTTAATAACTCACCAAAAGTATACCAAAACTCCACCAATCCGCAGCATAAGAATGCCCTTTTCGATTAACGATCTCCGGTGCCATATATTCGATTGTACCACAAAATGAATATGCTTTAGAATTATCCAATGATTGTTTACTTAATCCAAAATCAGTTAAAGAGATATGCCCTTCAGTGTCCAATAAAATGCTGCCAGAAGAAATAAAATAAGAAATAAATGAAATGATATTTTTCAAAATGTAATATCAATTTACTTTAATGAAATACAAACTTTTCCGGTTTTAAATCGCGATATATTATACCAAGTTTATGTATATGATCCAATGCAAGTGCAAGTTCAGCAAGATAAAATTTTACATCCTCTTCCGTGAACATGACCTGTAAATTTATTTCTAAGAATAGTAACAATTTCAATTTCTATGAAAAAGACATGATATTGAAGAGTACATATACGACAGTTGTTATCAATCAAGATAGATTAAATGTTTGTCATTATTATGTGCATATATACAAATTGAATAAATTGTGCAATCACAAAAAAAAATATTCATTGATAGAAAATGAAAATTGAATGAAAAGTAATCATACAAGTTGTATCTAGTTAGCTTGTTCAATAACCTCTTTGGATAGTCTTGTAAAAAGATCACCACCCTTTAGGAAGTCTAAGATCAAGTACAGTTTGCCCTCTGTCTGGAATGCATAGTGTAGTCGAACAATGAATGGATGCTCCACATCCACCAATATATTTCTTTCCATTTTTGTTCTTACTCTGTCTCTGACTAAGGTACCATGATATAACAATTAGACCGAACAATAATGAAGGAAATATTAATATTTTAATTATAAAAAAGATACCTTTCAAAGTAGCCTTTTTAAGAACCTTCATAGCATATAGTGTGCCGTTATCCTTTCCCACAACTTTCCGTACTAAAAATACCTAAACGAATGTATATATATATGTAATCAATTACAGAAAGAAATGAAGAGAAATAATAAAAAAAAAATAAAAAAAAAAAAATAAAATAGACATAAAAGTTTGACTTTATACCTTGCCAAAAGAGCCTTGACCAAGTACTTTTAATAGTTCAAAGTGAGATGGATCTGCTTTTTCGTGTCCATCTCGAACCACCTCACGAACCTCAATTTCATGCGACTCGGAACACCCATTTGAGCGAGACTCAATAAGGTTTTCTTGAGTAATCATTGTTTCTTCCTGGTTCTCATCTGACAAAATTTCTAATCCCTGCTAAACAAACAAAATTATATCCTTGACACAGCTTATTATTTAAATATATATATATATATATATATATATATATATATATATATATATTTATATATATATATAATATATATATTGTTGTTATATAAAAATAAATATTTTCTAAAATCATCCTATATAATCGATGTAAGGTAATATTAAAATTGAATTAAAATATGTTTAACAATTTATTAAATAATAAAATCAATGAATTATCTTACCTTTTCATTTACATGTTGTTCAGTCCAAGGAACCGTCAGATTCGCTAAAGGCATTATATTTGCATTTATTTCCAAGGTCGTATAGGATAAAACAAAATAATTATAGTAATGTCACTATTCCGTTGCAACATTTAGTAAGCTATTAAAAATTAATATTTGCCCTGTATACTCTGTATAAACAACTAAAAAAAATTTTCCGCACATTCGCGGTTAAGACTGAGGAAGGCATGTATGTATATAGTTGACGCGATAAGTATCGACCACAGATAACGACTTAACGCTAATGCTTTTAGACGGGACTCTTGATTTAAACCGGAAACTACGTCTAGAGAAAAAGCGATAATGATAGCACATAATTTAAATACAATCTTCTACCATCCGTTCGTTAGAATTAATTAAATGCATCCGCTAATTAATTACTAAACATACAAAGATATTTCATTGTTGCAAATGAATTCAACCCCCCCCTCCTTTCCACTCCCTGTTTCTACCCTTTTAAAATAATGAAAGATAATCTTTACACAGTGTGGGTTTTAAATCGACAAAAGATTACTACGCGACATAGCTAATGAACATTTCTATATGTCTGGTTATATTTTATAAAAATTCCCTAACTCAAATAAAAACACGATAGATAATAGGAATAATTCAAATTTTGACATACATCAGTCGTGTAAATAAATCTCGTGGGGGGGAGGGGGAAATTAAGATTTAGTTTTTTTTTATTACTCATTTGTATATTACTAAATTACTGACCAGCATTCATATGAAATTAATAAGACACTAGCGCCACGTGATCTAATATCGAACTATTAAACTCAAAACTAAAGAATAAATCTATTTCAATTTTAATAATATATGCAATAATTTTATTCGATAGTAATATACATCAAGTATATCTATCGACGTATAATCTATTTATTTACGTTATAGTTTAGTTAATTATGGTAGGATATTTAGTTAATTATAGTAGGATAGTTGCTTTTTTTTTTTTGTTTTTTTTTTGTTTATACTTCAAGGATTCACAGATGGTATCAAAATATTTTGAAGAATTGTCTCAAAATAAAAACCAAAAAGTTTTAATTACACTTATCTTTTGAATACAATTAGTATCCTTACATGTGTTATTTACATAAATTCTTTTTTATTGTTGATTCAACTTCTGCCTCAATCGTTCATAATGGTTTGTTTTTTCTCTTTTTACTTTACCTGTATAGATTTGGAAGAACTCATAAATGATATAATTTAAGCAGATAAATTTCAGTTTAAAGGCAGTTTTAAATTTCCAGTAATTTTTTATATCAAACTCTGTAAATAAGTAATTTTTTATTCTGATTATCTTTTGTTTAAAAAATTTTTATGACTATTAATAGTCATATATTAACATATTTTTTACTTTACATAAAAAATGTATGAACTTGATAATTATCGTACAACATTTATAGAAAGGTTGATTAGGCTAAGATACATTATTCTTTTGTAACAACTTTTTAGCCTTCAAACGTGTGCAAAAATTCAACAATAAATTATGTATCATTTCTTTATCATCACTATAACTCGTGTACCATAATATGCATTTGTGAGGCCAATGAGATCATGGCAAGATAAAAATTCTCACAAAAATGGGACTTATACAAACCTTATTTTTCTGTAAAATATCTGTTCATTTAAACAGCAACCTGTAACAGACCAATTAATCTTCACTGGAAGGGGATTTAAAGTAAATACTTTCAAATACATAACATGGAGTATGATAGTATCTTTCTAGATTATACAAACATATACTATCATACTCCAAGAAAATGTAATATAGCTATTTGCAAAACAGAAAATGAATAATTGATAGAACAAATGTAGATTGTATGTAAATATATATAATAAATGTATGTGTCTTGACAAACCTGTATGGATACCCTTGAGCCTTGTTCTTGAATATGGATAAAAGTAAACTAAAGAAAATAGCAACTAATCCAAAGCCTATCACAGCAAATATTCTTCGTTTTTTAACATCACCTTTCCTTGTAGCAGCTTCGGTCATTAGAATCATTCCTAATACCACTGCTCCATCTTATTACTTTTGTTAAGGTATATTACATATACTTAACAATTAACTTATTATGTTTATTAAATTAAAAGGATACTTAAAACCATAACAATATAAGTTTCTAATACAAATTGACCTTGAGATGATCCATGGATATATGCCATATTTCCATTAGCTGATTTGTGGATAAATGGAGGTCCTCTGATATGATTCCACATTTGTCCCGATATCATTGTAAGAGTGAAAAACTATAAGAAGATCAATTTTAATGAAATGAATCGTTTATATTAATAAAAATAAAGAAAAATAAAATAAGCTTACTAATGCACCAAGAGCCCAAATTGTTTTATTATAAATTAAATCTAAATTATTACGTCTAACATATAGGAATACTCCAATCAGAACTGAAAACATTATCAAAGTTACTGTGCCAGAGTAGTTTGGTGGCCTGAATATGTTTATCTATAAGAAATAATTATTATCAATAAATGTTTTATTACACGAGCTTATAAGAAATATTTACCTGAATATCGGTACGTTCTGATATCCACTTTGCTATTGCTTCTGCGGCAAAACCAACTCTTTGTATATCCATTGTATCAGCTGGTTTTGGTTTACCTTTTGCTGGAAAATGTATATATACCGGAGCAGTATTCAATCTCATCTAAAAAAAAAAGGATAGTTTTGTGTCTTTATATTTTCATATTTACCAATTAATTATTGCATATATATATTTGTATTTAATACCATTTGAAAAACGTCTGATCCTTCATCGAAATCTACAGATGCAAAAAACAACTTATTCGAATAAGACTGAGAATATCGGAATGAATTTGCAACTATTGTGAATTCGTCATTTGCATGTCTGAAAACATGTATATATATATATATATATATATATATATAATTAAAAGAAATCATTAACAAACTTATTATTATTTTTCTTACCTGCAAATTTGACACTGCCTTTGCGGTGCCATAGCAGTGAACATTACTATAACAGAATAATTTCTTGGAGTATTTTTAACAAACTCCTTAAATTTTGCTCCGTTAAATTTAATTACTGGTCTCCTAATGGCCATTTCTGTTAATTGTTGTACACGTTCGGCTAAGGAGGAACTTTGACTCTAGAAAATATATGTAAATTGATCAGCTTAGAGGTTAGAAAGAGGATATATTATTAGTCCATAGAACCACTTAATTTATCTTTTTAATTATGATCAGAGTAAAACGATTAATTAAATTTTAATAGAAAATTAATAAATATAAAAGAAATTTCATTGAAATTCCACAATAAATTAGAATAAATTTTGAGGCATGACATTAATCTGACATTTCAAAATAGCACAATTTCTTTGAACTCATCGACGAAATTATTTTCTAAATTCTCACATTTTTCGTTCTATATTGACAGTTAACATAAGATAAACTTATGAGCACAATCCCCAGGAATGTAATATAATATTTCGACTTCATTTTAATAGATTTTGGCAAGATAATCTATCAGAAAAAGCAGTAACAGCTATCTCTATCGGAGTACGCTAATGGAATAACTGTACATATAACATGCTGCAAATGCCGATTGGTCTGAACATTACTACGTGGCACTTGATATCTACAATTTCTGTACAACAAAAATTTATTACATTATTACAATATTAAACGAGAATATAACGTATCCTTTATAAAGATTTAATGCGCACAAAATGTTGAGAGAAAAGAGAGAGAAAAAAGAAATGAATTCATTTATACGAATATCATTCTATATGTTATTCAATAATTCGAGACACATTGTTACATCGCGAAAAAATTTTGTTCTGATGACACTTTAAATAACTTTTTCGATAATAAACAATACAATGTAGATTTTATTGGAAAAAAAAAAATTATTGTTTCAATATTTACGATTAATATTTTGAAAAAAAGGAAAAAAGAAAAGAAAAAAGAAAAAAAGGAAAAAAAAAAAAAAAAAAAAAAAAGAAAAATCTAACAGGATAAATTGTATGTGTATGACAATGCTCGTGGCGATAAATCATATGCATACATCACTGTTAATATGTACGTCACGTTTAGTCGCTGATTCGACGACGATTGAATGTCTTGTCGTTGATTGGTCAATAGCGTCTTTACGTAACCGTCATTTCAAACGAAGAAAAACCGGTGAACAGACCCGCGTAAAGAAACGAGAGAAGAACGCTTGTGTAAGATTCATGCAACTTCATATAAGCCATAGTTTTCAAGGGGAATGGACGTGCTCATGGTGGAACGTGAAGTGTTTTTAATAATTAATAACAGTGTTTATTTCTGATATAAACATTGGTGTTTAAACGCGCATATCCTTTTTAAGGATATTTTCCTTAGATTTTATTGAATATATTTGATATATAACGATATGTCGTTCTCAAAAGCTAGAATTCAACGGTTCAATGAACTTGCAAGTAAGTTCTTAATATTAACCGTTTACTATGTTTAATGATTTCGAAGAAAATTAAAAAAAAAAAAAAAAAAAAAAAAATCGTATCGCCATTTGGAACAATGATAACGATCATATCGTATCAATGAATGTGCATCAATTTTAGAAAATTATATATATGGTAGTGAGAAGCTACATTCTGGCGGGAAAATTGTCCCGAGTTCTCGTAATGCTCTTTTATTGATTCATTTTTCTTTCTTTCTTTTTTTTTTCTTTTCTTTTCTTTTCAAACAGATTTTTCTTATTCTTCTCTCTTTTTTTATTTTTATCAATTAACACCAAAACTGAAGTCATTAAAATTTATTTTAACGATTGACGACTTTAATGCCTAAACATCGTTACAATCTTATTAAAATGAATATCAGGCTCGTATCGTTGTATAATTAATTATTCGAATATACTTTAATTTCGAAATATTGCTTGTGTGTGTGTGTGTGTGCTTTTTTTATAACTTTTTTACTAGTAAAATATTGTTATACGAAAGTCCATCTAGCCTATAGTTTTTACGCCATAAAGAGAAAGAAGTTAGTATCAGTTAAAAAAAAAAAATGCATCCTTGCAATTTGCATCATATTGCAAGTTGTAACAATTGCGCACGATCGTTCCGTGAAACATTTTAATCTTTAAATGTTTTTAAAGAGGTGAAGGGCCGAGGAGGAGGAGAAAGAGGTGGTGGTGGTAGTGCAGGGGTGGGGCGAGGGGATAGAAATGGGAGGGGGGTGTAGGTAACGACAAAAGAGGACATTTTATCGCAACGACAAGAAGGGCTGGTCGAAGGTTACACCTGGTACCTTCTTCATGGATCTACATGTCTTTCAAATACAGACACACACAGCTGCCTCCTATTTCGAGTTTCTTCTCCTCCCCACTCCTCACCTTTTAAAGATGTATCAGAAGGAAATCCCCTTTGATTCCACCCTCCAACCTTAGTTTTCTCGCGCGTATTCGTTTGAAAGAATAGGATTGACCCTAAGTGAACGCAACGAGCTACAATAATTTCACCTTTAATACACATTTTCTTTCATTAAAGTATATTTACTGATGATACGGATATCATTTAAGTATTATCATATAATTTATCTATATGTTACTTGTTACTTGTCTTATCTATATGTTATATGTTACTTGTTACTTATTAATTTGTGATATAAAAATTATTTTCTAGCTTTATTATTTATGAAATTTTTCTAGGTGAGGCGCCACCACCCGGTGCATATGATCCTAAGTTCGACCAGAGAATCAAAGGATATATTATTGAAAAAACAGAAAGATTTCAGGATAATAAAAGTGTAATTAGTAACGGTACCGATTCAAGCTTAACCGTTTCAAGCAAGAGTACTGGAAATCAACCACAAGACAGATTTTTAACTGTGAGAGGATTGATTTATTAAAGAGAGATATAATTAATTATTTGATAGATTAAAAATTATATTAAATATATGATAAGTTAGATTATATGTTTTAATTGATATATGGAAATTTTTCTTTCATTTATAGCCACAATGTCCAAGGAGAAGTGTTATCGTCAAATCAATAAATTCAAATTATCCAAAGGAAAAATTGAAATCCATGAACCAGACTAAGAATAAAACTATTAATAAAAGACATTATAATTATACGGATCAGTTGTTGGAATTACAAGTTGAATGTACGAATAAAGATAAAACTATACAGGAACATGAGAAACATATTGAAGAGATTAAGGAAGAAATGTGTAAACTTGAAGTGCAAATAGAGGATTTACATAAGAAACAAGTTGAAGTTGAAGAACAACACAGGAAAGATATAGAAACTATGGTAAGTGAATAATAATTTTTTGTTGCTTTTTTACTCCACTTTTTTTTTTTTTTTTTAAGGTTTATATCTCTAATCTTTTTACAGTTTAATTTGGCAAAACTATTCTGCTTTTAGGCTAAATTACAACAGGAAGTTTTAGATAATCATGATGAAAGGCATCAAGCTGAAGCAGATGAGCTTCGTTCTAAATTATTGGATATGTCGAGAGAAAAGGAACAAGAAATCTCTACTAGAAGAACGCTTGAAAATGAATTAAGAAAACGAGTGGCCGAATTGTTAGAGAAAATTTCTTTTTTAGAAAATGAATTGTCTAAAATAACAGAAACAAATCGAATTGCGGTAATTAATGTGAAATAATACAATAACAAAATTATTACTATATTGAAATAATAATAGATGTATATCTTTTAAATAGATACAAAATTTAGAGACAAGAAATAAAGAATTATTGTCCAAATTAAAAACATTGGAGGAAGAACGTGACATACAAATTGAATTATTAGAAAAGGAAAGATCACAGCTTCTGTTAAATATAAGCGATTTAACGGACAATAAATGTGATCTTGAAGATAAATTGGAAAAAAGGCAGGACGTGATTTTAGAACTTCAAGGGCAATTGTCTACTCTTCAATGTGAGCTGGACGAATTAAGAGCGGAATACGACAAACTTTTGGATGATTCCATGAGACAAATGAATGATCTTGTAAAAAATTATAATGTAGAAAAGGATACATTGAAAGATACCTTTGTTAAAGAAAAGAAAGAACTTCAATTGCAATATGATCAGACAAAAATGACAGTAATTGTATTGCAAGCCAATTTAGATGATATGGCCGATAATAATTCATTTCTTCAACAAGAATTACAAGACGTTCAAAGACTTTACAGAGATGTAAATATTTCATTGATAATAATGATTATTAATTCATTCGTAGTTTAAGATTTTTAATTGAATTATATTTTTCTGATTATAGGTAAGTCAACGGTTGACGCAAGCTCATGAGGAATTAGAAATTGCAGAACAGAAACATGAGCTTGTCTTGAAGGAACATAAAAATGAGATAGAGGCTTTACAAAAGCAACACAGCGAAGAAAAATCAGAATTAAAGCAATTATTGGAAGAGGCAAAGGAAGATTATTTGAATGAAATAGAAAATGTATGGGATAGACAAATTAGTTTTATCAAATACCTCTTTTTTTTTTCTTTTTTTTTTTTTTTGATAATTAAGATATTTATAATATTTTTTTGATTTAGTTGTCGATAGCAAGAGATAAAGAAATAGCTGAATTGCAAAAAGCAACGAGTCAAACGATTGAGGAAGAAACCAAACGAATAAAGGAGCACACAAATAAAATCGTTGAAAATGCCGAAGCCGTTACTAGAGAAACTATAGCAGTTTGTCGTGCGGAAAGTGAAGAAAGAGTAAAGAGAGTAATCGCCGAATGTGACGCGAAAGTAAGCGGACCACATGTGCGTAAAACGCTAAACATCACCTGACCTTGTATTTTGTTTTACAATTTCTCTTCTCTTTTCTTTTTTTTTTTTTTTCCATTTTCTCATTCTTTTTTATATTTTTTATTTATTTATTTATTTTTTCTTTTTCTTTTTTTTTTTTTTTTGTTTCCTTCTGTAAAAAGAAACTTTTTAAATGAGATTTCCATAAAATTAAAATATTTAATAATTTATTAGCATGCGTTTGTCTTGGTTTGCTGTGATGTTTGGATTATTAATTTTCATAGATGAAAATGATTTTTCATATTAATATGAAAATTTGTCATGATAATATGTAGATAAATACAATGATCAGAGAGGCCACGGCTGCGATCGAAGAAGAAATGCGTCTTAATATTGAAAAATATAAAGCATGTTTGAAAAGAGTAGAAACCGAACGTGCTGCGTTAGACGATAAGTTGGCTCAAAGAGATGCCGAAATTACAAAACTTTCCTCGATACTCGAGGAATTGAAATTGACCGCAGAAACTCGGGTATTTCTGATATATCAATTTTTCCCTTTAATTCTTTTTCTTCATTCTCTTCGTATTATTTACGTTCTATATCTATTATATTGTTCCAGGAGAGTTTTAGTCAAAGCTTGCAGGTCGGGTTAGACAGAGCGGAAACAGAATTGGCGGAGAAAAAAGCAGAGCTTAGAGCATTGAAAAATCAAATACGTGCGGAGGCTGCAGAAATGGTAGCTAGAAGAAAGAGGTATTGCGATAATAAAAATTATTTTCTATTTCTTCCTTTTTTTTTTCCTATTAAAATTTTATATATATATATATGTGTGTGTGTGTGTGTATGCGATCGTGTATATAGGTTTGAAATAGTTATGGCGGAAAATCAAGCATCGGTTGCTGCACTCTCGAAACGTTTAGCACAGAGTCACGCTGAGGTAGAAAGACTTCAAGATGAATTAAAACGTGGCGAGGATTGTATACACGAACATCGAGATTTACTTGCTTCTATGCGTAATAATTCTCAAATGGTACACGACCAAGTGCACAATATTATGAAACAATTAGATGCCGAGAGACAACTCGTAAGTCAAATCGAAGCTGGTAGTTTGTCTGAGTTTGAATCCATTAAGACTGTTTTCGAAATGAAAATTGATGAACTTCAACGAGTAGCAGCGAAAGAAATTACACGACTTCGAGAAGAAATTAACAAGAAGTCAAGCGAAAGTGCAGAGGTATTATTATATCTCTTATATATATATATAAATTAATATCATTAAAAGAAACGTTAACTTACATTACAATTATATTTATTAATTTTAGATGAAGAGACAGCTCGATGAAATGGCTGGTTCTCTTTGTGCCGCAGAAGATATGTTATTAAGATTAGAGGAAAGAAACGATGCGCAAATGATTGAAATTTCGCGATTAGAAGTTGAAAGTGGTAAACTTCATGAACAATTAAATAATCAAAAAAAGATCTCCGAAGAAACCACTGCATTGATGTCCGTACAATCGGTGCAACATAAACTCTCCATTGAGAAAGTAAATATCTATTAAGATTAGATATATATTATACAAATATATAATACCAAAGGGAATGAAAATATCTAATTTAGATCTTTATGCTTTTAGGCGAATTATCAGTTAAAAGAACTCTCCATGAAAGTTATATCACTTGAAGAAAGAGATAGATGTGCCGAGGTAATATTTCAATTTATATTTAAAAAGTATATATATATATGTATATATATATTTAATTCTCTTATTGATTTGACGATAATAATCCATAATCAATTGCATTTTAGAACAAACATATATTGGCTGAAAAGGAAAAAGAACAATGGCATGCTCGTGAAGAGAAGCTTTTAAAAGAATTAGCTGAGGAAAGAGCACGTCGTGAAACTGCTGAAACGTAAGATCATTATGATTATTAATATTTATCCAATGAGAACAAAAACTACAAACAATTAATATTAAATACATATACATACATATGGATATTTTTTAATGTAGCGAAGTTAAGACATTAACCGAAAATAATGATCGACTTCAAAAGGAATACGAAGACATAAATGAAAAATATGCCGAAATAGTTGGCCATCAGAATCACAAACAAAGAATCAAGCACGTTTCACAGCTGAAAGAAAAGATCTATCGATTGGAACAGGTGCGTTTATTCATTATTGTCGGCCTTGCGATTAGTTTCTACTGGATTTGGTTGTATTTTCAATCGATCACTTGTAACTTCGATTACCATATGTTTTCAAATTTGTTTTGTGATATCGATATCTTTTTTTTTTCTCGTTTCTTTTTTTCCTTTTTTTATTGATATTGTTTCAAAAAAAAAAAAAAAAAAAAAAAAAAAAAAAAAAAAAAAAAAAAAAAAAAAAAAAAAAAAAAAGAACATTTTATTAAATGTTTTTTTGTTTACTCTCTTTTTTCTTTTTCTTTGTTTTTTTTTTTTCTATCGATTATAAAGATCCCATAATGTTTCTAAATTATCTGTCTCTATTGTATACTTATAGTATTTATTTATACAATGATATAAATTTTGTTATGAAAGTTATATAATTAAAAGAATAAACAAAAAATCAAGTATATATGTTCAATAAAATAAATATATTTCTATTACGAATAATTTTGTGTTACTATCTTGTTTTGCCCACTATATATTATGATCTACCATTATTATTCATTTTTATTATCTCATAATGTTTTATTATACACAACGCACACACATACACACACACACACACACATATATATATATATATATATATATATATATATATATATATGCTTCTGAGGGAATTGCACAATAAGCAGGTGAATTTTTTTTAGGAATTGCAAACTAAATCCAGGCAATTGGAACATCAACAAAAGGCAGGGGAGAAGTTAAAAGCTCAACAGAAACGTCCCCATACTAAAGGGAAAGAAAACGTAATAGGAGTTACGAGAAGTAGTCACACCACACCTACATCTTCGCCGCATAAATCATTAACGCCTCTTCGAAATCGAAACGAATAATTTGATTAAAAGATTATGTCTAAAAGAATTTGCCAAATTAGTTCGTGTATAAGAACTATAGGTGTATAAAAAAAAACAAAAAAAAAAAAAAAAAAAGAAAAAAAAAGATAGTTAAATCAAATGCACCCACGTTCCAGAACGTGGGAGTGGGAGGGAGGGGGGAGGAAGAAAAAA